GACTACTATAAGGATCAATTCCTTTTTGCCCAGCTAACCAAAGGTAGGATTCAGAAGGAGGGGAGTAGAGAAATGCGGGATGAACGAGTCCCAGGGTCATGCTAGCGGTTACCAGCCTAGAGTATAGTATAGTAGTTTATTGTATATTGTAGCAGTCTATAGTAATCTATAGTATATAATGATTTGAAATATTTTCTGGTAATTTATAGGCAGGAGAACATCCCTGAAAGGTTGCATAACGTTGCAAAGCTCGTTTGCCCAGCCAGGATTTCGTAGTTCCTTCAATTGCCGGGCGTTTTTAGGCAGGTAGCCATACTCATAGGGGGCCGGCAGCGACATATGGCCCACAGCATGTGCCACGCCACCCCCTGTTGCTGCTCCCAGCTACCACATGCTTAGGCTTGATCAACTCTGCGCCTTGGCAGAATATCTTGGCAGCAAGCGAAGCTGAATTCGTGTTGCAGCTTCATATCTAGGCCAATGCGCCCATTTTTCAAGTTGACCTGTCCGACGAGATTGTCGTGTGGAACAGTTGGCTGGCAAAAGTCACGGGATGGGCAAGCGACCAAGTTCTGGGCAAGCACATCTCAATTGTTCTCAGTCCCTGGTGCAAGAAGAAATACCAGGATGCCAAGCAGTAGGGCTAAGATTGAGCGCTTGAGAGTGAGAAGCGAGGGAATGCCTTCAGGGGTTCCTGGCCCTGCACCCTGACTCACCCTGAAGGATGCATGCAAGAAGGCTTACAATTCTGGTGATGCGGATCGCTTTGAGATCAATGTGGTCAAGCGAGACGGTCAGACGGTGACCATGCTCCTTTCCGCGACCGCCTGCGTGTCTATGCAGGGAAAGACAAATGGGGCGATCTTCATAGGCCAAGAAATCACGCAGCTGAAGACACTGGACGAGCGCAAGGCTTCTATGATGGCAATGGTCTCCCACGAGCTTAAGAGCCCACTGCACGGCATCATCGGTCTCTGTAGCTCGCTGATGGACAGTCATGCTGATGGGGAGTACAACGACAAGTTTCCTGCAGTAGTGGAGACGATGCGCAACTGTGCCACGCGCTTGCTGGACATGGTAGCGAACATCATGGATGCGCCCCTTGTCATTGCAGAGCAGTCTCGTTCTGCATGAAAGTATCGTAAACACTCAGGTCCGTGCTTGTCAACAACAAACGGATGCGGATGTCAAAGGATCCTGTCCAGATGAAAGATGTCATAGAGGAGGTCCTTCATCTCTGCCAGTCTGGAGGGGGCCGTAAGGACCGAGCCTATCTGCAGAAAGGCCATGCAGGGGGTACAGCTGTCAGGTTGAAGGTCCTGTCTGAAGCTGTGAGCTTCAGGGCCAAGTGCCAGTCGACGGACAGCTGCAGCGCATGTAATGCCAAAGCGTCGCTGCAGGCGTCAAGCTGATCAACACCGTCAACCATCCATTGCCCATGATCCAGGCGGATGCCTATCGCTGCACGCAGCTTCTGTACAACCTGGTCACGAATGCTATGAAGCGCCTTGGTGTTTGTGTTCCGCTGGTGTTCCTGTGACTGCTTTTGGTCCTGGCACTGGATGCAGGTTCACGCACAAGGGAACAATTACCATCGCAGCCGGCTACAGTGATGCGGAGCAGCTCCTGTATATTGATGTGGAGGACACAGGCAAGGGTTCACTGAGTAGCTTCGGGGGTTTGGAAAAAGTTAGGTGAGCCTTATCTTAGCTGTCTTAGCTGCTTGCTCACACAGTGCACACAGCGTCTCGCAGTCTTTGTTGCGTCTATGTCCATTTCGTGCTGGCAAGAGGGAAGGCAAGCTGTCCAGGTGTTGGAGTCTCACCAGAGAACATCCATCGCATTTTCGAACCCTTCGACCAGGAGGACAGGTGTCAAGTCTCGTGTGCTCAGCGCAAGAACTGTTGCGAGCTCACAGGATTCACAGGATCACTCAGAAAGTCAGCGGAGCGGTGGGCTTGGGCTTGGGCTTGGACTGTCTATCAGCCGCGAGGCCTGCGTGATCCTGCGTGACTGGTGGGCTGAGACAGCGGAAAACGGTAATTTTCTGATACGTGAGGTCTTCTTTAGCGGGAAACCCCATGGCCCATTCCCTGTGTCAGCCAGGGCCAGATTCAGGGGTAGAAGATGGGTGGAAGACTGAAGAGCATCAGAGAGGGCATGGTCCAGGTTGCCTTGAAGCATGGTGGTGACCTGACGATTGAGTCCGAAGTTGGGGTTGGTTCCACTTTCCGCTCCTGGGCTGAATTTTGAGGGCGTTGAACCTGACGAAATTCAGTCTTCTAGCCATGGATGAAGGAAAGGTGATCTCGTGCCAGAGAAGCCAGAGCCGGATCTTTCCTAGGCCTCACGCTGCCGTACAAGATGCACGTGGACTCTGACACGGAGGACTCATGGCTTAGGCCTCTTACATGGCGATGGCAAGCAGGGATTTGAATGCTTTGCCAGGACATGAGCGCAGAAGCTGGGACGCCCTTGCAATCAGCCAGAGCCTCATGGGATCCCAAACCAAGCCTCTCTTCGGTCCTGTGTGCAGAGGCAACTGAAGAACACGGTCATGATCTACCTTACGGGTTTTATATGTGAATCCTGAAAGCCTGGCGAAGGTTTTTCCATGGAGGTGGTTATCTAATGGGCTGGTGCGATGCTTGATGAATAGGATGTCGTGAGGTTTGAGTGATTGGATAATTTATTGGGAGCTGACGAGGTTTCTTGTTGTGAGGTATCGCCTGGGATTTGAGGTTGATGGCGGCGTAATTTGAAGTTTTGGTGAGCTTAGACGGTTAGCCAGTTAAACCTGATGTGCGGTTTTCGTACACTTTTCATGAGGCTTGACTCTTAACGTTTTAAAGCGCGGGGGAGGGCTGGCGGGAGCCACCGCCTCGTTGCAAAATCGGGCGCGTGGAGCGTCCTCCAAGTCTTGGTCGCGAGGGATACGGTGGGCCGACATGCAG